CCGAGAGACACCTTACCTTAACTTTGTTTAGTATTTTCTTTTGGCTCTTTTTGGCTTAGTACCTAGGAGTGGAAGCAGTATATGTTAGATTTCTCTGTTTCAGAAGCATTTTTTGGAATGATTATTAAATACAATCTGTTTTTTTTTTGTTAATGACTCAGCTAGCTGTTTGGGCGTTTTAATATTAAACCGGATGGGAAAAAAAAAACTAGGATTAATTGGAACTTCTCCATATCGCAACTTATTTTTGACATACTAATCTTTAACAAAAGGTTTTAGAGACCAATAAGCTAAGTCCGGAGAACAAACAACATGTAGCCTTTGCCAAGCTAATCTCACACTCTTATAATTTATTAAAACTAATTATAATTTTTGTAATTCCGACAATCCAAACAACTATACATTATTATAGGAGCATTTGCATCCACTAGCAATACTGTTGCGCATAATTAAAAAAAAACAACAAGACCTATTTCACCATCAATTTTTCCTGTATTACCCTCACTTGCCTAGCGTATTATCTCTCCTCTCTATCACACGTTTTCACACGTCTCAAATATGCATTAAATTTTTCATTATCTTTAGTTCATTTTGTTATTATTAATGACTTAATTTCTACTTTAAATGGATGTGATTAAAATCTCTGTTTCTTTTATCATGCCGAATTAAAAAGACCTAGTTATCATAGAATCTGTTTTTTTTTCATATCCATCTGTTCACTTCTTTCTTTTTTCCCAAACTTCTCTTCTTATTTCTTGTCAATCTCTCTTATTCGTTATCTTAAATACATCCAAATTGCCGAGTTTTAAATCGATTTTGGGTACTAGATCTGTATCTATGATTTGTTTCATCTTTCTATTGTCTCCATTACTTCGACTTCTCAATATAGTTTGAAACTGCCATATGTTCTTAGTTTGAATCGGTCGATTTTATAAATCTACGGTTTCATTTACAGGGTATTGATATATATGGATCTGCAAACTGTCCCTGCTGCATCACTCGCTGTTGGTGATGGGACTGATCCATAATATGGAGATAAAGATCTTGATGAGGATGAGTCGGTATGTACCTCCTTGTGATATTTTTTTGTACCACTTATAC